CAGATTGACTTGCAAATAAGTGTATTTCTCGAAGGTAGAAACCTACTTCTCCAGGCATTAGACTCCCAATTTTACCCCCACTGTGGGACAGACATCGCTACAATAGGGCACCAGCTTAAGAACCCATAAAACAGAGTTCCAACGATAATGAGGCATCTGAACTCCCAAAAGGCCGACTTGAGCCTCTTAAACTAGCTTCCAAAGTTGGTTACGTAAAAATATGAAATCGTACTTACACGTGGAAGTATTGGAATTCTGGTATTTATAATCTACACATGATGGGGTCGTCATCCGTGAAACTGTGCCAACCGAACTGTGCGTCTGTTTTGTCATTCGAAATTTGTAAATGAGAGATTCAACTAAAAACTGGCGTTGGATCTACCAGAATACTCACTCCAAGACTAGAGATAGGTGAGAATTGCAGGAACAAGTCTGAGTGAAACCTGGAAATCCCAAAACTTCCACCAAGCTTCCCAAAATTCAAGCACTTTTACCTCCATGAAGTAGTCTATCAACACTGTTCCATTCAGATCACTGTTCCACACCAAGCACCATGAGGTGGATTAGCCATGCTGTTTGTACCCTTAGCTAGACACTGTCAATATCCACCGCGCTATGTACCTGAGAGACAGTTCAACGTGAATGCTTGTCTTTCATTTTCCTCCTATGCACTATAGCAAACTGATGACCCCGCCTAATTACGCAACCAATGTCACAGGAGAGTGGATGCAAAGATTTCAACAAATGTTCAAAGATTGGGGTGAGTAATTAGTATCACAGCAGCATTCATATCGAAATGAAAACACTTCCTTTTGAGCTGCAGATATACTGAACGCAAAACTAATAGAGGGGCAGTTCAGTTGACGTCTCCTACATTACTAAACAGATACGTGTCATAAAGTAAGGCATTCTGACTTTATATACAGCATTATGGTTGTACGCGAAATAGGCAGTTGGTTAGTAATCTTATGCAAATGAAGTACAAGGAATTTTGACCTATTCCAGGAAATCCAGATTCGAAAAGGTTCCGATTGGTTCCAAGCGTGCTTGGGAAGCCGTAAGAGGGGGGTCACTCGGTTGACGTAACCAAGACAATTACTAGTGGTTAGGTAAACTAAACACGTCACTCAAACGTCATCATATGCATCCGCTTAGATATGGCGACCCAGATGCTTCCAGGATGCACTTGTGAACTTAGGTGAACACGTGCTTCTGGCGAGTCGTTTCCAGTACTTAAACCCAGGCATGATCAAAGACGTATACTGTAAAGATCTGTGATGGACACAACAGCCAAGTCCAGATTTTTCTCGTTTTCGTTATTTCCTCCAGATAAGAGAAGACCCGCTGGAACGGGAATGACCCCAGGAGACACTGGAGAGTTTGAAACTTCACATCACGCTTGTGTTATCCGTTCTACTTCTTTTCAGATGTTTTTAGTAGTGAAGCGACATGTGCAGACAATTATTAAGGCTGGATCGGGAGCCACTTTTCAAATGGTCCATGGAGAGATGCAAATCTGGGTCGTGGACTCTAGGTCTGCTGAACTATCCTCCGTGAAATAAAGCGGTGTCCCGGATTATTTTCCGGCGAATAAGAGAACCGATGAATTCCCAACACAGTCGAATGGTAGAATCCACTTGAAGCGCTGGTGAAGTGCTGCGGAGACTGTAAATATTCTGTTTTATCTTCAGTGTTTCCTTACCACCGTGAATTCAACAACAGCATGCTTCGTGAATTGGTGATAAAAAAGTTACTGCGTTAGTAAAGATATGGAAGCTTTTTGACACAATAATGTTTTGGAAAACAGTGAAGCATATTTGGGATAGTTAGCTGACGCCTCTGTCTGCCCACTCTCATCGATGCCAGGGATATTGAATCACAAAAATGTGTGAAGGGACGGAAGAAAAAATTTCCGTCACATTACTGAAAGGTTGTGAGTAGATAACTTACCTCACAGAAACATGATGGAAACTGCGTGATTTCAGTGAATTTGACTCACATTCTTCAAGAATGTGATTCGATCGGCATGGAAAGGGTATTGATTCCTGTTATAACTTGCTGAACGGTAGTGCAACTTTGTGTCGGTCCCTTGGCTTCCTGCTCCGCCCACTACGGTATAGCAAAAGGCACGGTAGCTCTACACAGCCCTTTATGGAGACAAAGGGAAATCAGTACAACTGTATATATATAGGGTAGTCACAGAGTGTTCCACAAGGTCGTACCAGAATGTCCGTGAGGGGGGCGAGAACCGTCGAGTCAAGGTGTTCGACTCGGATTGGCTGTAATTCTGATCAATCAGGGCATGCCTACGTCTGACCCGTGTCCTGCACGTGACACATGCGTCCAAATGATGTGATGTTCGGTTACTGGGGCGGCTGGCTCCCGAACAATTCCTTAAAATCTCCTCAAGACCGGGCGTTAGTATCTCAGACATAAGGGAGTCCGAGTTCAATAGATGTCACGCCTAGTCTTTCATGTCTAACTCCTAAAGATGAAGGAAGAATATGAAACTGGCATATGCCTTGTATAAGGATGAAATCCTACGCAGAAGAACTCGATGTGTAAGTGGATGAATGAGAATTTCAGCCTTCTGAGAAAATAATCAGGAAATTGAATACAAGCGACCAAGTAATAGGTCCCGAGGGCCAAGTCTCCCTTAGACACCTAAACAGTTGGCCAACTGTCACACAGGTCTGTAGAGGGAGTCCGAGTTCGATGGATGTCAAGCCTAGTCTTTCAGGTCTAACTCCTAAAGATGAAGGAAGAATATGAAACTGGCATATGCCTTGTATAAGGATGAAATTCTACGCAGAAGAACTCGATGTGTAAGTGGATGAATGAGAATTTCAGCCTTCTGAGAAAATAATCAGGAAATTGAATACAAGCGACCAAGTAATAGGTCCCGAGGGCTAAGTCTCCCATAGACACCTAAACACTGGGCCATCTGTCACACAGGTCTGTAATCCTTACCTTAGGTAATTCGAGTCAGTTGAACTTGAAGTCCCACAATCAATAAGTGCACCTTAACCCCGACACAACAAGAGATCTCTAAACCCGATTATCATGAATATTATTAGCCACGCAGCAAGTGAAGTAAATTTGAATTAAATATGATCACATTCGGATCCGAAATTTCTTGATTTATCTTCTTTCTCCACATGACAGATGAAGCAAACCAAACGTTTCTGCATTCGGTCTATGAAAAGTATGAACAACATTCACTAGGATGTATTGATCAGCTGAAAAAATTTCAAGTGAGTCTATATGGAAAGGAGAACGACTATTTTGCTCCTCTCCATCCCAAAGTATTTTCTATCTCAAATTTTATTCCCCAGGAATTTCGCTACAATAGAAGCGTTAGACGCCCACGGTCCTTGATGGGCCACTGAAAGTCCACTTAGGGTAACAAGCTTGATCGTGCGACACTAATCTAAGTTTCTTTTTTCCATCTCTTGAGAGAACGTTTTCAGCAACTTTCCACCTTTCGATACACCATAATTGGACAGGTTTTGGCCAGATGTTGACAGATATTTTTTATACCTGCTGATTCGTCAATCTGTGGTATGTGCTGCTGACCCGCTCCAGTGCCTAATGCCGGGGAAAAAAGAATCACAGAAGGGAACACAATCGCTATATTCCGAACAAACAAGTGTGAGAGCGCGAGTGCGTGCGAGTGCGAATGCACAACGGTCTCAAGCTATTTATTGGAGGGACAGTGTCTGAAGTTGGTCCAATGCTGACGCACACGTCTGGCTTTGGTACGAGGCTGCGACGTGCTGCATATTGAGGGGGCGTTGTCTGACCTTGATCAACGCTGACTCGCGCTGTCTGGGTTTGATACAAGGCTGTGAAGCGTTGCATGTTGAGGGGGTGTTGTCTGTCTGGTCAACATCTAGCGGAGCTGAGAGTCTCGGTGGATTTCGGGCATTCAGTGGTTGCTTTCAGCAAGCTGACCCTTCTGGTAGTATTGTTAAGAGTCAAACCCACAATCTTCAGAAACGGTATCTGTTCACCTATTATAGAAACAACAGGAGCTAAATAGGCGGGTGCAAGAAAATAATAGGGCATTTTTTAATGTTGTTAGTGGGGGAGAACTTGACCAAGTTTCTCATCCATTCTGCTGAAAAAGCCTTATAAATGACTTCGCCATACTTTTGACGACTGTGTGGATGACTTTTCAGATAGAAGGAGAGATACCTTGTGTCAGGCTAGTATCATCTCTGTTTTCTGATCCAGAATGATTGACCTGTGAACTATGTTTGGCAGGGTTCTACAGGACGGCGATGAGAACCCGAAGGTAACCGGTCCAACACTACCAACTCTTGAAGATGTACGAGACACAAACTGCAGGATCTACTTGTTCATATATCTTATCAATCTGTGAACTGACGAAAGTATCAAAATTGATTTTTCTAATGCGGTCCAACTAGTTTCTCGGTGGCTAAATCACTTGTCTAGCACCCTTTAGACGAAAGTGTGGGATTCAAGACAGAAGTGCCCACAATCACTTTGATGGTGATTTCCTTAGAAAAAAACAAAGAAGATAGCTTTCATTTATGAATTAAATTCATTTGGTAAGCAGAGACTTAACCAAATCTATTATCTGTGATGTCTCCCAACTGGACGTACTGGACAAAGCTTCCCTGATGTTTATTCCGAGTTTCGAGTTGCGTAACGTATTTTCTTGACGGTTTGTACGACATTCGGGACATCGTACCCTATTTTATAAAAACACAGCACACTACTCATAAAGCGAATGAAGGTTGTTTGACATAGCATCACTGTTTTTGCCATTCTTGGATACATCAGGCAGACGTAGCCTCAGAGCTTCCTTATGTTATGTTGGAATGTCAAATTGTACGCAATAGAAGAAATGGGTTTATTGATAAATTACATTTGTGCATCCTCCGGCAGGCACGCGCGATTATTCCCGAAAGAACCACACTTTCAATGAGACCATCTTGACATGGACTATAAAAGTGCATCTTCGAAGCCACCCCCCAGAGAAATGCGCACCCTCAGGATAGGTCCTAAGCCATCCCTCCGTAGGACGGACTGCCGCCTTTTGATAGCAATCTATTTTTCTCTTAGTTTTTGAGTATACTAATTTTTATGTTGCACTCTGTGAGTATATGACAGACAGACGGTCTGTCACCGGGCTTTGATAATTTCATGTAAATTTTATGTCATAAGTCGAGTTATACGGCACTTTGTTCTCCATCTCGAAAATCTCAGTTACTGATCTGTTCTCGTGCAACCCTAAAAGTTATTGTGTTTCAAACTCACGGGCCCTCTACTTTTCCCGTTTTTTCCATTCAGGACCACATGATCGAGAGCGAACTGTTCAACTCTCCAGAAGAGGCATCGAAGCTTCTCGAAACACAATGTATCCCGATCATAGGAGCATTACAAAGAAGTTTTGAGAACAACTTGAATTTTCTTGACGTAAGTTTTTCCAATGATATTGATGAGAGTTCAGTTCATTTGTCCCCAATTGTTCTTTTGATATGCAAGTTATTTTGCATCAACCCTGTTAACGTCTGCGTGTACACGGATCCCTCACTTTATCCGCAATGAGCTTCCTTCATTGCACCTTGAGGAGGGCTGTCAGTCTTCCCTCATCTTCACCCCCTGGAGCCAAGAATCTCTTTCCAGTCAAAACGGCCTCCCAAAAACGCATCCATCATTCGCTTATGTTTGATCAGCCTTTTCTATCCAAAGTGACTTCCTTTTTCCAATTAATAAGGATTGACCAAACCTTCATTGAAAGATGCCAGGCTTCAACTCGCCAAACGTTGAAAAAAAACAGATGATGGGTGAAGGTATCTTTGGCAAAATCGTCCTGAGACTCGTACATTCTATTGCGATGTAACGTAAAACAAAACAGAAAGGAAGTATCCCGGAACTTTATCGATTTTACGTGGTACAGGTCACCTGGTAGTCAATAGGCGGTCCAAGTATCGTAATCGCTGATTTATTCTGGGCCAACCGGTGGTTGGCATGTTACGCTGGTCGGCACAAGCCATTGTCGCAGCTTGGCCAATGTTACCTGAGCTTCTGGAAGGACTGCTCTCGTTTTCACAACATCAGATTCTAAAGACAAATTGCAGTGGCTTTCACTGTTCCCAAAAATTGCAGTCGATGGGCCCTAGAATGCCGGCAAGGCACACTATAGATGATTCTCAAAGATAACTTCGTGTTTACGCTATGGGTTTTGTTGACGAGGTGTTCGTTTGCTGTGCTTTCTACATCAGTTCGTTCCCGAGCTCCTTTGGAATGATTTCGTTAGTTTTGGCTAATGTATTGGACATTACACAACGGCTATCAAGGTAGTTATATCCAGTCCCAGCAGAGCTGTCAATCCATAGTTTAGATGACACTTTGCATTACCTTTTAAACTCAAAACACACCGTGAAACCGAAATTAGCTTTCCGATTTATCTACCCTGTATCATGCCTCCGATTAAGTCTCTTATCAGCTTTTGAGATCATTTCAGTTAACATGCAGGATCCGGTTTCGTGCAAACCAAAATGGTTTGTCCGGAAGCTCAGGCGATTTTGGCTAACCCTAGAGAGTTGTTTGCCAACCGGACTGACAGTAAGCGGCTTACAGATTGGTCCGGAATATACCAATCATAACCATGCAGAGAGAGCCGGTTGACTGCTCGCTGATTACAGTCATGTGAAATCGATAAGCTCTCCAACTACTGTTTTCTTGTCCTGTTTTAAGCCATCATAAGCAAATTTACAAGTCTACCTCCTGTCAAAATGTCGGAGAAGACACTAGAATTTTCTGTTCAACGAAAATCCTACTCATCCCGGCGTTTTCTGCTGCCTCATACCTATGACGTGGCTCGGTACTTCGTGAGACATCGGCTAAAAGGCATCGGGAAAAGCACTAAAACACTTCTCGTCTTTTCTGAGGCCGCTGTTTCACACGTGCCGGATGAAATAATTAACTAAGCATTTCCTAGATGTTCTTGTTGAAACCTGATATAAACACAGGCACCGCTGATGATTCAGGTAAATGTATGACTCTTTCTTTCTTTCTTCCCTTTCAGAAATCGTTTTCTCAGTCCTATACTACTCACCAGGAAGCGCTGGTACAACCGATTCATCACTTTTGCGAACTTCTCGCTGAATTCTGGCAAGCATTTGGAGTCAAGCCATTTGAGGCCATACACACTCGTCTCCTTCAGCGAATTAAGATGGAACGGAAGAACGGATCCGAGCGCGTTCAAAGCAAACTGACTGAGCTCGAATCAGCGATTGAGCGAGTACGTAAATCTCCAACGGTTGAACAGGTGGATAAAAGAATGGAGAAAGTAGACCAATTATTCAATCAGCTAAAGTCTATGTGAGTGTTACGGTGCAGCCACAGTTTTGGTAGACTTACTGACCTACTGATAACCATTCTTTTCCGGTGTGAACTGTACTTGGAATGAGTTATCTAGTGGACTACGTCATTTGATGCCTGAGTGGAGATCACACAGATGAACTATGACAATCGATTAGGTGACACTGTCGTGCCAGAAGCACTCGTCCAGCTATCATCTGCCCCCTCAAATGATTACGCAATTCCGGAAACGATGGGGACTACTTCGCTTTGGGTAGACGCGGAATTGAAGTAACACTAAACAACTAATTAGGAACTTCGGGAAATCTGACACGTTTTCGGTTCTCCTTGGTGCAAAGTTTTCGACAGGCTCACTGTTTCATGTGGACAATAGATATTCATCCATTTCACACGAATTTCTGAATTTCTGAAAAATTAATACCGGAAAAGCAAGTTAAGTATTCTTATTTATCTGTTTTATTAATCATTACTGTTAGACGTTAATAAATAGTAAACTTTTTTAAGCTGGAATGAATTTTCGGCTTTCTGTCGCTGTGCTCCCTATGGTTGGCGATTAGCAGTTACCCAGCAGCGAAATTATCGGGTGGTTCTTTCAGTGCCTGCTGGTTGTGATCACCAAAACATCAGTTTTCCTCAGTCAGTTCGAAACGTCACTTTCAAACACATGAGATCACCTCACGCTTGAAAGTTTTAGCAAGTTGTGGGCTGTCTTATCCATGTTAGGGTTCATCAATACCGACTTTCTTGTAGAGCTCTGGAATGTTTCAAACCCCCAAAAAAATCCGAAAAGAAGAGGAATATTCAAAACGTTTACTCGTTTGCTAAACGTTTTTGGTTTTAACGGGAAACTCAACTGAATTCTAGTTGAATCGCCCGTTTATACTATTCTTCAACCGAATGTGCTGCATAAAGCTATTCTCATGTCCCATTTGGCACGATATTCGAGATATCATAGTATAACTCCTTGTCCGTTAGTGGACTCCTCGACAGTCCAGGAGCGGTCTCGCTCTTCTCGGAGCTGTCCAAGGATTTTAATGATCTTCATGGGTAGTGTGTTCCGATAATTCAGTATCCTTTTGATTTCCAATCAGAAACTTGGTTAACTTAAGTTTGGACAGCAAAGGCTGACCCCCTTTTTAACTTGTCCAACTTTTTCTCTCAACACACAAGTCGCCCCTTACCATTTGGAATTGAAGTTTTATTATCTATTCGAGAACTGTCTACTTGTATCTTGCAGTCATGTGAAGAACCGACGACAACAACTCGCCATTTTGGATACATACGGTCCAGATGTCGCAGGTGCTATTTCGGCATACGAAGAGGCCTGTATGCGATTCTTTGGAGTTGAGAAAGTTGATGAGGAGCCATTGGAACCGAGTGCGGTGAGTCATAAGTTGGAGCAGAACACGTAACAGCGGGTTCACCAGCCTCACAGGCCCAGTTAATCATGTCCTTCATTTAAAGCCTTTTGATTGAAGGTGGGTCGACATATTCTGAAAGTGTACGGATAGTGGGAAAAACGGAAACTAGTCACCAAAACATATTTGTGTGGTGCAAGCGAGGATCCGACTGGACTTTAGCTTTCACAATGTCCGGAATAGACATTAGAAAGCAGAGTCTACGGAATGAGTTCCGGAACTGGCTGACATTCCGATGGCTTCTTATTTATGGCTTATATGCTATTATCCTAGAAAGACCTCGATAGGACAGACCTTCGTTTCTTTGATTGAAATCCTTAAACAGCTAGTGAATCACTCACTCCAGTTCAGACAGGAAACCGAATAGCTCCAGAGGATGAAGTATAAGTAGTACTAACCGATTGTAGTATACGCTGTTTGATTGAGTTCTTTGGTAAAAGGTGCTGATGTTTTCATGAAGATTTGAGTAAGTGGAGACTCGAAATTCTCGGTATGAAGTGGTGAGGCGGTGGGGACACTCAGGGTCGGCTCAACCAGGTACCCAGTTTCCTACGCATTTGTGGGGCTCAGTGCATTACGGTTGCCCATGAACCTCTAACATCATGAAAGCCGACTTCTGAAGATCCTTACATTGATGGTTCATCGTTCACAGACTTTTCACTTCTCATCCCTTCGTTTACTAGTTTCAGACGGCAAAAGTGGAGTTTAGGCCAAAACCTAACAACACTTCGTTTAGACTGACATAATATTCCGCAAACGCCATTCACCTACCGCAGACTACAACCATGGTAGTTCTTCGGTTCAACAAGTCACTAGTTCACTCTGCAATGAAATCTCATTGTCGACCTGTCTGGGCCCGGTGGGCTCATGACGGAGCAAGAGTGGCTCAAATCTGCCAATTCGGTTGTCCTAACTAACCAATATTTACACAGTGTGGCCAACCGTCAGTCCTCTCATATCACGAAATAACACGGCAGTTATATTAATAGAAGTAATCTAGGGAAAGCTAAAAAAATCTTAGAGTAATGCTAATGAAACAACTGTTCCTCCATAATTCAAAATGGTCTATATGAAGCAGGGTATCTACACATGACAAAATACCTAGTGTCCCGTGCTCAACTTTGCCGTTAGTGGATTTCGGATACGAAAAGTGTGATAAATTGCACCGGTCTGTCCAATTATTGATCATTCTTGTAATGACTGACTCTGCATGAACTTTTCATATGTAAACGGCGGTTTTAGTTGTTGGGCTAGTGAACCACTCCTTACCCGACTGTCTTAATCCTTCAGCTATCACATCATTCGAAAGAAGCAGGAGGGATGTTGCGCTACCAGGTTTCCCTAACCCAGTGGATTTGCCAGGGTTGGGTTCGAACCACGGATAGTGAGTTCGCACCTAAACCACCAAGCCGTATTGAGCTCAACGTTACAGCTTGAAACACCTCGCCATTGTGATTGCACCCCACAACGCGAAGAGAGCTGCGTTGAGTTCTTCGTAAAATATACATTTCATGAGTTAACAAATTCGTGGATTAACTTGTTCCGGACCTCTATCGCATATTGAATCAACAACTCTCGCGACCCGGAATGATTGTATATTGCTGAATATTCATAGAGGATAGCACCAGTTTTTTAAAAATATACCTGTCCAGAGAATACGTTCATTCGAACTTATTTTGAATTTTTCTATTGTTTTTAAAACTATGAGGTCAATTTGTCCAACTCGTGATGGGTCGTTTGGCGAAGCTATTCAGCCATGGTCCACTGTGTCTAATGCTGGATTCGAAAGAGAGAAAAATACATATGCATACTTCTTTGGTTTGCTTGGTTTCGATACTTTTTTTTGATTCCCCGCCGTTTTCATGAATACACAGGACGAACAAACTACTGATCAGTACGAACACCTAAAAAGTGCAACATTTTTAATCCGACGAGCCAGGAAATTTCTGTGGAACGACTGCATCTTACATTCAAATAGAGGCTCGAATTCATTGACTTCAAGTAGCAGCGTCGATGTTGAACGTGGGGGTAAGAACGAAAAGGAATGGATTCAATTTCGTGTTCTTCCCATGGAAGATGCGGTTGAATCAGTTAGACGTTTACACGAGAGCGTCACCGGTGTTGGTCAAACAGTGTTGGAGAAAGTACTATCTAATCCCAGCTACTCAGGCATCCTTACCCAGGAGCCACAATCGGAGTGTCCCTTCGAGCCGGAAGAGGAAAACGAAAACGTCGAAGAGCCCCAAGAAGTGTCTGAACATGTTGAATCGTTCCCCATTTCAAACAATTTGTTTGAACAGTTTGCTTTGGGAGCACACGCTGTACGTTTTGATGGCGTTGTACATCAAATAAAACAGTCTGTTCGAGAAGTAAGTTGGTACCAAAGTAACCATTTTTTGCATTTTTGCACTTTACTTAATTTGTCACACACATATATTGCCAACGAACGAGCAGAAATCAATACGGACTTGTTCGCAAAAAACAACTGCCTTCTGACAGTCTAATAAGGGAATTCGTCTTATGTAGTAGATACTCAAAGCCAAATTTCATTATCAATGCCTCACAGGGCAGCATTGGATTTCTCGAGCGCATCAATTTTTCGTTCATACAAATGATGCAACATCTCGCGTGAGTCCGGTTGTCCAGTATGAAGAATCAGCCATGCAGGCTTTTTGAATTAGCCAGTTTTTGATAGGAAAATTTACTAATAGCACCACAAATTTACCGTTTAAAAATAAAATTACCTTACCCTCAGATCGTCTTTGCAATTTTCCCCTATCGTTCGCTTTGGTATCATTACCGTGAATGTGTGTATATCCCACTTACCCTCAGATCGTCTTTGCAATTTTCCCCTATCGTTCGCTTTGGGTATCATTACGTGAATGTGTGTATATCCCATGTATGATTTGTAGAAATCGATAGCATCCCAACATTCTGGGTGTGAAACAAAACGCGCACGTGAAAACTATACTCATCATCGTAGTTTAGGTCCCAATTCTTAAGGCTGATGCACGTCTTTGAGGAAACCACTGACACCAGGAATGAGTGAGGTCCTTTTTGGACAAACCGCGAAGGATCCAACAAGTCAATTCTGATTGGCAGCTTGTTTTAATATCGATTAATAGCACTTGTTCGACGAGGTAGAGTTGTGCATGCAGCACAATGCATGGTGCACAGGCAGCCATGTGTTTAATATATCTCCGCCTAACAATCGCAGGGCCTGTTACTTAACTAGATATTCAGTGTACTCGAATGGTCCTTTTGCTCTCAAGTCCGCTTGCGTACTGCTTAACCATGAGATGTGTACTTATTCCCTTACAGAATTTTCTCACACATTTGTACTCCTGGGAATTGGAAAAAAATAATGAGGTTGAACAGGAACTTGTTCTACGACGAGAAGAAATCCATACTGAATATGACTTGCAGATTAATCTACTTGAGGAACAGTGCCAAGGGTGTCGAGAGGTGAGTGACGTATCTACTGATTACCGTGTAAGTAGTTAAAAGTTGGTGATGATTAAGGCCGCACCAATTCTATACCGTATCAGTTGCTGACGCCCGATAAGGTTTAGAGCTAATGTTACTTCTCTGTGTCGTGACATTTACCAATCTTCATGTTTAGTTCCTTAAAGTCTATGCGAGCGAGAATCACCACTGATGATCGATTTTTTCTGGCAAAAATAAGACCCGTTTAGGTTCAAAAATTACTTTCACAAATTTCCTCATGATAGATATCCATCACGACAATACCCTCATTACATAGTTTTGGTGGATGTAGAGAAATGGCTTCCTCAGTTCCATATTCTCCGGTTTTACACAATCATTTACACAAAACACTACCTTTCAAAGTCTCATCGTCAGAGTGTAAGATGGAGTCATCGACATGTACGCATTCAATGAGAACGCGGATTAAAGTGGCTTAACGCAGAGGCCACAGTGACCAGATGGATCTACTCAAGTATTTGGATCACATGTTACGTGCGGTTCAGTGATTATTTTCTATTCGACAAGGTCTATCTGTCAAGATATGAACTACCAATAGATTTTTCTGAAAGCAAACAGATTTAACACTGCATTACATCTGAGATCTTGTCAACCATGGATGATTTGCGGTGACCCGTTTCATGAATACAAAGCCAGTGGCAGTGTTTGCACGATATCATGTTCCTTCCAGACAAAATTGCGATGATTAAGTGCCACACGGTGCCACACTCATTGAAGCAGCGGAATGAGGAGCTCCACAGACGCAAGAAAACTGATAAGCACAAAATTAGTGTAGCTTGGACAGTTGTTCATTCACTCACTCTTTGTATGACCACAGTGTAACTTGTGGTCGCTACATGCAGTAGATCTCAGCAGTGTTCCCCTCCGAACAATTAGCTAAAACTTCTCCATTTTTACGACGGGCGCAGACAAGCACAGTTTTGCCGTGAAGGGTCTTACGTTTATTTGCGGCAAAACTCGCGGTGGAAGTTTTGAGGAAGGCACTCAGTCGCTGACAGTCTGAAATTCACCTTAGTCAGTTAGTTACTTCTCCGAGGAAGAATGGATCATGTCATACGACAGTTTCAGTCCGTCATGGCAACCTTTCAAGTTGTGAATTTAAGCTTTCATTTCCGTTGCTCCAACTGGATAGAAGAATTGTTCCAGGGGCCGATATAGATTGATCAGTCTGCTGACCGAGTTCGGATGGCCTTCAGCAATGTGGCTCGTAGGACTGCCTGATTATGTGGAATCGGTACGACTGCATTTCAAAAAAGTTATTTGCATTTGCAAAGAAATTTAACTTTCCTTGTCCTTGTGACTTTGACTCACTTTGATCGATACTATCAAGATGCTCGTATGCACGTATCAACTGTTCGGTTCGGCTGATGTTTGTGAGATCCGTTTATTATGCGTGACATGTGGAGAGTACGTGAAATACACTGTTAACTAGCGTAAACAGTAGAATGGCTGTGGGACGCTTCAAGTTGAAATACTACAACTTGCTGTATTAATGTACTTTGGTCGTGAACTTTAGGTTGTGGATAAGAAGCATGCTTCTTTTGGGTAGTTGATTACCGTTTTCTTCTGATCTTCTAATGCCGCTCTCATTGTACTTTTTATCCAAGGTTTTGTAGTCCTCTAGTCAGTCGTTCAGTCACTTTGTCAACGGCTGGAACGCAGGAACCTCGATTCACATTCTGTCTCTGAATAGACTATTCGTCAAAGCAGTTGAAGGATTTCCCATCCAAGTGACCGTAGCAAGTCAACATATCTTGAGTAGAAACTGAACAACTAGCATCGGAAGTCTGTCCTTTAATGCTGCTTCATTAACATCCATTGGGGACTATTCTAGACATCCTTAGTGCGGTATAAGCGGCTTTAGACTGTGACCTATGGGGATGTAGTCTTTCGCTGCCAAGACATTTGTGCAACTCTTCACAAAGATCACCCCAGATGGTATGCCATGTATAAATGAGATCGGTGTGGGGTGTCCCGATTTCCAATGTATCAAAGTGTACATTTTTGGGACTGCTCCGCTGTAGCACTTGATACTTATCTGCCACAAATTTCGAGCCCCTTTACTTTGCCTTTTGTGGCAGCTGGGATCTCTGCTTGACCGGCTTTAGTTCCCTTTTATGGGACGTGTAATGAATGCAGAAACGTTGTCGGTTGGAAATTCCCGAATAATATGCAAAGAACCCAGAATACTCGTATTATGACCGTCGCCTTCCGGGCGGGATCGTGCCGGGATCTTTCTACCTCGCCCAGCATGTATGCACCAGTGTGACAAACCTTAAACTGTTGGTTGCCTTCGTTAGTTAAAACACAGCTTTTGAAATGGTCAAATGACAACCTCCAGAAGGAGGAACAGTTAGGCAGCGGGTGTGAACTATTTTAAAGAGGAGCCACATAATCCTCGCACGTAAAGTCTGCCTTTTACAACTGATCAACCTGCATGAGGCGTTCGAGAGGAAGCAGTGACGGAGGATTGTGAAGCGCACTGGTACGAGGGTTGGTTCATGTGAAGCCCTGCTGGTGACATTAACGCGATTAGAGAATCTTGATCTCCATTGTCCCATCAACCAGCGAATCTCTAATTCATCCAAGTATCCATACTTAAACGCCATTGTGTGAAGGCTTGACTGGCAACTACTGTCAACTCTGTCAAAAATGCAGTCGAAAACGGCTATTCTTGGGCTAAGGTCAGGTCCATATTAGAGGATCTTTTCTGAAAATGGTACTATCTTTCACAACTTATCCTTCGAGATGTTGTACTAAAACCCGCCGTGTGTTCCCCCGTCACTTCAATGAACACAGATGTGTTGGGGATATCAATATCCCCCCAAAAAAACTGTATTTTTATGTGTGCTAGCGAACTTCCGGCATCTTCAAGGTCAAACTATGAATATATATATATATATATATGCCTTGTCATTTCCTTTGANAAGCTCGGGGCATCGCCTGTTGATCGCGTGTTGTTGGATCATTAAAGTTTGTGTCCGAGGTTTTTCGTCTTCATACTATCCGCCGTGCTAGGAGTCTGGGTCAAGCAACATAGCTGGGGATAGAGTATTGCCACAATCCGCATATCATATTGTTTTGCTCGTAGCGTGATCGAACCGTAACAAGATGTGAGAATCACAGGTCGATGGCAGAGGGGTATGAAGGAGAGCGCGAAATGTTTGGGTGCTATCCGTGCTACTCGCTTTCTAGGATGAGCAACGCGAGATCCCCACGGTGCCTGGTTTGAGACGCTGCAGGATATGGCTGCATATCGATTTCAATGCCGTTCTTGTTGTCAATTTCTACCAAGATTGCCTGAATCAGTATTTGAAGTTGTAGGCACCATGGAATTATTGTGGGAGGCTAACACCCTGCAAATTAGAATTATTGGCCTTTAAAAAAACCTACCAACGGTTAAGCAGGGCGTTTCTGAAATAGATGAAAAAGAAATGAAACAAACGGTTCAAAGTCACCGGATTGCCTTCTGATCATCCCCTCTTTATCGCAATCTCAGAGGCTACTGGTTGTGAGTGAGCAAGTCCTCTAGTATGCTTTGTCTTCTCAAGGCATGAATCACCAACGCAGCTGGTCGTTCTCCTTGTAGAACTTTGATGCTGTTCTTACACGATAAAGTTAGATAGAGTACTTCACGAGTAGATCCATTCGTCACAACAATAATATTAGGGAGATTCGTAAGTTGTAATCGCTTTGTCGTCAAGGTCACTACCCAATACAGAGAAACCACAAAATGCCCACAAACTGTTCAGTAATCTCCCGCAAAAACATGGCTATGGACAGTTCGGAGCTGTATTTCATCAGATTTGATGGGGACCGCTTCACAACATGTGTAAAATAGGCAATTTTTCCACAAAATTAGATGAACTTGGAAACTTATCAAAACTTTACACCTCGTGTTGTGATATACAAGTAGAATATTACTAGTTAATAAAGTGTCACAGAAGTGAACGGCTGTCTCCCATATGTCACTCGAGATCGTCGAAACTGACCAATCAAAAAAGTATTCCAAACAGAGTCCAAGCGTTGATTAGACATGTTCACTGGACCCAGCTGTCAGTATGCGATGGCTTCAGACGCTTCCGTCATTCCGCGACTATACAGCTGTTGTACTCTCAGCAATAGGTAGATGAAGTGATCGCAGTCAAAATTCATTTTCACCTGTATTCTCTGCTCCTAATTCATGGTATCAAAGTGACTTTCAGAGAGGCACGTTAGAATAAAGTAGACGTCTACGTTCACGGTTTTGTTTGACTTGAAAGAACGAAGGAGTGAGAGGATAAGAGATGAATTAGAGGAAAACGAAAGTTCCTTGTGCCAAATAAGTCAAGTCGCTATCAGAAACGCACTAGAGGGACACACTATCGACAGGTGTATTTCGATTTTCTCCATCAGTTTGTCGTGAACAGAATTTTCAGAAATGCGTAGGCAGACTGCGATTCCACAAACTATGCAAAGTAGTCAGAGTTCCACAGATCACACTTGTTTGTTAGGCACCCATTAAGTCATAAAAAAGGCTCAGTCTACAACGTAAGTTCTTTTAGTCAAGTACAAAACGGTAACGCTCGAGCTACGTAAGCAACTTCCACGGATAAGCAAGAAAGTGCAGTTTTGGTGTATTCCAGCAGACAAACGCTCACTTGTATGTTTAGCACACGTATGTGGAAAAGTATGCACCATAGCCGGTTGGCATCCTATCTTTCTTTTTTTCTCTGATTGTAATGCGAGAAAGTTTGTTGATGGACAATAGATATTTCATTCTTTCAGTGAAGCCAATCTATGCTGAGAAACCAAGAACCATTGTACAACGGTCGTATCCTTGTTGGGGATCATTAGCATTGTGCACCTCACATGTGAAACTTTCTCCTCAGTACTTGTCACTAGAGGAGCCGATCAATACTTGACCACGTGATGTGGTCCCTGTAATTGAAGGATGGACAGTGCTCTATCCTGTCTAAGTGGGGTCTAATCGCACTGTTGATCAGCCACTCGTTGTCAAACGGTCAGGTGTTAAACCACTGGCCGGAAGGTCACGGAAACCAATGTCTATGAGTTTCTTGAGATCATCATTATCATCATCGACAGCATAACATCACTGATGCTGATGATTCGCTCAATGAGTCGCGGCGGTACGCAAGCCACATTGAGGTCCAATCTCTTCGCAATGGTTTCGTGAGATGCTCACTGCTGAGAATTCCTAACAAGGATGAAAGAGCAGTACAGAGTCTCTCGCTTTCCAGCATAGACCGGCTACACTGATAGTTTGAAATCCCTGCTGAGCGTTATCTGACTACGTGCCAAGAACTTTTCCAGGCCATAAATGTGGACTTTACAAAATTCTCTAATTTTCTACATAAGGGTTTTTCTGCGTGCGCTTTGTTACCGAATAAAGTGTTGGCTCCTTAGATTCTGACCATTAGCTAACTATTAGTAATCGTTTAAAAGAAGGGGATGTATAGTTCCCAAAAAGTCTTGCTGGAGCTCATCAAGTGTGGGCATATGGGAAGGATCAAAATACTCCCCCGAACAGTTTGACTTCAGTTAGACTTCTCACGGTCTGGTCTTTACCGGCTACACGGATGTGAACGGCATACACCATTAGCAATGTGCATTTACCTAATCGATATCACGTAGGTTCGCGTAATAAGTTGGCGTGCTGATATCAGCTCCCGTATTCGCCATATTTTATGAGACCGATACGAGCTTTCACTCTGTTTGGGTGCAATGAAGGTAGTTTTCTCTCGAATATATTGCTCATATTTTTCGTTTCGCTCCGATTCACCTCGCAGTTAAACTGGCCCGTGTTGATTTCTCTGTTCGACCTTGCTATTGCCCATTAACAGAATATTGTCAACGTTCGCCTGACAGAACTGCATTATCACCAGGAGCGTATCGATCTACACGTGGAGTACGTGAAGCAGGAAATCGATAAAGCACGCTCAACAGTCATTAGTGATTTGAACGCCAGATTGGATGAACTGGAGACAAATATGCAGGCAGAAATCAAAAGGCTGATGGATACTAGGCTGCCCAGAGCCAGTCGATTGTCAATGTGAGTAATTATTCATCCGCCTGAATAGTGCCGTTTAAAGCCCATGTGATGAAATTTTTGGATAGATTAACTCTGCTTCTTTTTGCGTTGTGCGGGTTCACACAAGTTACCTTTTAGTTTTCCAGAAGGAACGCTATTGATAACTTTGCAGCACATTTAGCTGGAGATCATCGTAGGTGAGAAATTCAGACAAAACCAACCAAAAAGTTTCCCAGTGGGTTTCAGGCGTTGGTTACGCTAACTGAACGAGAAGTCCTGACTGGCGGGTCAATCGATCGTGACAACCAGGACAGTTACTGGGTTGTCATGCGATGAGTCGGGCACACCAATCACATCGCTCAAGTGTGAACACGTTCGCCTGTTCAGACGTAAAAACTCAGATATTTCCAATGTGCATTGGTGGAGTAGTGGTTACACGCTCGCCTCGCATGTCAGATGTCCGGGGTTCAAAGCCCGGCACGGCCATCGGGTATGCACTGCTGATGAGCTCTAATAAGAGCGAAACTCGAGTCTAGTGCTTTCCCGGTTTGGTGTGGACTCACCGAAATAATTACGCCAGAACGGCAGGACGACCGTTCAAACGAGAGTGGTGTGACTATGAACAGAATGCCTATCCCGCAAAAAGTCGTTTTTGATTATTTCATATGTGAAGGGTGCTAAGACTGCCGCAAAACAACGAATATGAAACATTTAGGACGGGGATTTTATAATTCGCCTATTTCATCTAACGCACATTCGACTACTTTGTCGTGTTTATTGTATCAATGATCTGACGACTATCCAGAATTCATATACAAACAACAGGAGCATGTTTCTTAAACTCTGGAATGGCACGAAGATAACAAGAACCTGAGAGGTGTGGTTCGCAGTCACTGAAGCCCTAGAAAAATCAGGTTTTACTGGAGAAAAGAACTTTTCATCACTGTTGTAGATTTACTTTCTCAGGTTCAGTTTAACTAGACACGGTCAGTTTGATAAAGATCATGATATAACGCCTGTGGTGTAGACGTATCTGATACGTCAGTCCTTGTTTGATGTAACGGGTGTTGTGCCATGGAACCCATTCAAGGAGCGGTCGCAGGTCATACACCATGCATGCTACACGCTGGTTCGTATTTTTCTGATGAAGTATCGTCCTTTTGGGCAGACTGCTCCAAAATGTTGCTTTCCGTTTGTTTGTTTCGCGGTATTTCGCCACCCACTTACCGATCGGATGACATCTTTGTTGCCCTATGACGATTGAGTGAGCAGCTTCCAGCTGTCACACCATCATTCATTATGGCCTGCTTGAACTGGAGACCAATATCTACAATAGACGGGGGGACGACGAATTGATAAATAAATATTGTTCTCCATAAACACTATGGCTTTCTTGCCATCAGTAATGAGGACAGCCGGCGCGATATTATCGAGAACCTACTACAGTGAACGTATTCAACAATAAGTAGTGTCCTTTAAGATGGCACCTTATTCGTTGTTTTACCTTCTACAGACCGTTTTACAGAGCCTAAAATCAGTGGGTTCAACAGATCCTCCACGTAGACCTATGAACCAGGCTGTTACTCATGAGCAGTATTTAGGTTACGCTTCATCACACTCACAAAGTTTTCATTATTCATATACCTCAAAGAATGCCTTCAGGTATGTGTTTGGTTTCCATTTTCTTGGTTGACGATACGGCTTTTTAGGTGTTTTTTTCTACTTTTCACGGTTCGTATTTTTCGTCCATCAAAGTGACGAAAGTGTCTCATTCTGTATCAAACTGCATCCGATGTGACCAAAAAAATCCAGTGTTAAGTGATCGCATCTTCCAACTTCGTTTCATCTGTATCTCAGAGTAGCTCGGCCTGATTGCTCTTCGTGCGATTGCTCACGGAAGAGATTTCATAAATATTACTCCTGGAATTATAATTGAGTTGTCCAACAAATGACCGGTATCTCAGAGTAGCTCAGCCTGATTACTCTTCGTGTGATTGCTCACGGAAGAGGTTGCATAAATATTACTCCTGGGATTATAATTGAGTTGTCCAACAAATGACCGCCCATCCATTTTGTTCAGGGTATTGAAGATGGCTCCTCGGATTCGAGTATTTTTAGACCCCAGGAATTCAACCAGTACTGCGGAATGTTTGCCATATATCGACGTTCATGCGGCTACCACTAAATACGCGATCTACTCCAATGGTGTGTGTAATTTCATAAGTACATTTGACACAAAAGTCAACATATGTGTGCCCACGTTACACAGGCCTCAATTGGAGTGCTATTCAAAGAATTGGTGAAAAGTGGGAATTCGTGGAGAGCCCCAAACACCAAGTTTGGAAAGGACTGGCGGCAAAATAGTTAGGTTCTGTGCGACGTTGGTAGAGTAGGAGTTGCACTACTGAACCGAACAGGGCGAGGGAATCCAGGAGCCAACTATATAATCTTCGCATTCCGAAAAGTTGGCAGTTCTGATTTCAGTTTGGGTCTCCAGTGGGGTCGGTGGATGCATGCACATCCCACGAAAATTAGCCTAAATTGAGGGCGCAAACTTGTCCGCTCCGAGTTCACGATCGAACTATCTATCTATCTATCTATCTATCTATCAATCTATCTATCTATCTATCTATCTATCTATCTAT